TCATTTACAGTTAACTTTAAGCAGCAGTAGCAGCGATTCGGATTATTGTGACGACGATGAAGAAGATTTGCCCAAATGTAAGTTTCGAAAATGTAAATATTAACAGAAATTGAGAATTATTAACAACTTTCCTTATTAATTCAACAGTCGATGAGACAATTGATTATACGAAGATCGATTTTGAGGGACGTCGCGTGAAAGCGCGTCGTGCGCATGAGGAAATCATCTCGAGTCGCTACAGACAGCCGAATTTGGCGCCACGTAAGCCCGACTAACTGTAATAATATTGTAAAGGAGACAAATAATATGTATAGATATAATTTATAGGTCCTCGGTTGGAGTACTCTCGCTCTCGACATGGCAACCACAAGCACCGCTCCAGTTCGCCTTCTTCTTCGAGCAGCGGCAGCAGCAGCGATGACAGCAGCTCCATTTCGCTGCCGGAGCAAACAGCTGCCCGTTCCCATGAGGTGAGCAGCACGACGCACTCGAATTCCCTTGAGTTTGAATTGCCTTCGCGTCACTCGGGTGGCTATGAACGGCATCGGCCCATTGCGGGCGCTCGTCGCAGCGAGCTGGACATGCAGAAGGATATGCAGCGTATTAGTGAGCTGTTAGAGGCTACTGCCACAGCCACGCCTCCCCAAATCGATGTGCAGCCGCCTACAGAAGGCGGCACCGGTGCTGGCCTGGTAGCACGCCAGCCTTGGGGCGAGGTCAGCTCCATTCGATTGCCTCCACGCAGCCGCACCTCGAACAGCAGTACTCTGACCAGTCTGCGCGATGAGCCCGATCAGCTGCAGGCCAGCCCCAGCATGGAGTCCAGCGACTGGCGCAACTTTATACGCTCCGAGTCGCAGAATTCGGTGCCATCGTGGGCCTCATCGATAAGTTTGGATTGTCGTGCTGGGGAGGAGCCCGTCAAGGAGTTCATGAAGCATTTCACTCATCTGCTCTTCAATAACTTGGCCGCTGTTAATCTGGAGCTGAAGTCAGAGTTTGGTGTGCTGCTACGCTTGGAGATGGGTCGGCTGTGGTTCACTCGGTTTCTCAGCGAGCAGCGCAACAAATCGAAACGAATGGAAACATTGACATTCAATGCACTTGCTCAATACTTTGCATTGGCTCTGTTCGAGTGCGGCGAATGCGAGGATTATGCGCCAGCAGCCGTGCTTATGAATCTCTGTTTCTTGTTCTATCATGAAGGTAAATCATCAGATCTGATATTATACTACAGTTATGCTAAGTCTTTTTTGGTTTCTAGTTGAAGTTCCTGGCTGCGAACCTTATCGCGAGTATTTGTTCATAACGCTGCGCCAACAGCCGCTCTGGCAGCAGCCGCGCTTCTGGAACGCCATCTTCCTGGATTCCATGCGGGCCGAACGCGAGCATCGGCTCAGCTCGCAGTTGCGCCGGCAGCAACGTAAACAGGCAAAGCAACAACAGCGGTTGGCAGAGGCAGATGCCACGGTGACTGTGGACGCTGTAGCACCAGCTGCTGAGACTACGTCTGCTCACAAGCATGGCGCAGATTCCGCCTCCAGCTCCTCGCATCAAAAAGCGCCGCCGGCGGCAGCAACTAATCGCAAGTCCAGCAAATGCAGCTTAGGTCAGCCGCAGTCCGCCAAGGAGCAGGAGGATATTGCATTTCGGCAATTGAGGTGCGTTGAAGATAGAGTGACAGAAAAATAAAAGCTCTCGAGCAAGCTGAAGAGGAATAGGAAGGAACACTTCAATCTGTCTGCCTTATGAAAAACCTTCACTCTCTTATTGTCTTCTTTTAATATTTTTAAAAAGACCTTTCAACAAATTTTCCAATTCCCTCTTTCAGTGCCTTTACGTGTAACATGCACATTCTGGGCACCACTCAGGATGTGTGCCTGGACTTTCTGAAGAAACATGTTGTGGCGTTTAATCTACCAAAGGGTGAGTGACCTATATATATAAATATTTTAGTATCCTTGATTTGCATCCTAACTAACAACGCTAACTAATATGCCCATAAACCATATTACAGACAAAGCCAAGCTAATCAGGGATAATGTTTACCGAATGTATCATGAGACGGAGCTGTGGGGTGCTCAACATACTTAACGAGTGTTTCGCCCAACCAAATCCCAACTTATATAATACCCTATCAGCACTTATTTTTCGACTATAAACTATACTATAACAAGAGAAAAACGTTTCAAATTTCGTCTCAGCTAAATTACAATTTTTGACTTAAACTAAAACTAATCTTGATGTAGTTAATAATTTTTACTCGCATTGTTGAACTATTGGAAATCGATTGAATATCAAATATAATAATATACATTAATATAAATAATTATATAACTAGCAAATATGAAATGAATACAATATTTATATCCGCAAATTGTGATAATAATATTTTGTGATTACTTTATATTATATAAAAGTGAAAAAGGAAAGTTTTGCAAATGACATAATAAATAACTAATAATAATCCAAAATTCACAAGAGACAACCAACAACAAGTAATGAACTAAAGAAATATTCTGTAATATCTGTAATATAGGAACAATAATTCCCATTTAATAAAACCTACTAATAAAGTTTAATAATTTCAAAAATATGTTTGCTAATTCAAATAGATCGAGTTGGGCCGAGAGAGCTGAATTTGTTTTAAATATTTTATTTATAAACTTTTATATATAAATTTGGACAAATCTAATTGGTGCAACGTTACTTTGATCTAAACACTAGACTTTAGACGGTCACAATCTTGAAACCCGACTCCAAGTAGCGCAATCCTTTTTCTAAAGTTAGATCACCTTCCCAGCTAAAAACTCGCATGTCTAAAAACTGTACTCTTGATATTCGTCGCAGTAGCCTATCCATTATTTCCTATTTTTTTTTTAAATATATATTTGATTGGTGGTTTCCTTCTTAGTCTGGAATATTTTAAATGTGAGAAACTGTTTCATAGATTTATGCGAACTTACCTCTATATTCTTATCGTATGCATTTCACGTATGCATTTCACGTTATATCATAACGTCTATAACAAAGGCAAACCTTTACATACTTATTATTAAATTACATTTTTTTTAAAGGAAAAAATCCTCTTGAATTTTTCTATTGGGGAAAAATTATCCACAACGAAACTTTTGTCCGTCTGCAACATTTTTTTTTGTGAATGCAGAGAATTCATGTATCGTCTTATATAGGTACAAGCATGAGCGGAACGATGAATTAAATTAAATTAGGTACACGTTTACAGTTATTTCTGGTAAAACTAGTAATGCTTCATTATGAATGTCCGGAGAGAAATAGGGAAAGATCTTGAGAAATTGACTAGTAAAGTGGAACAAAAACAATAGTAAACCGATTATACATCCTTATTAAGCGTAACCTGTTGTGTAGCGCAGAGCTACGTTCATTAAGAATCTCATCCCTCTTTATACTCATGAGTCGCAAAACATTACTAAATAAATTGAAAAACTTTGATGGTTAGGTTCAGTTGTTTTTTGGTCACTTTTTTTCCAAAACTCTTATGAAATCAAATAAAATTTCTACTTTAACATTTCTAATAGATAATTATTAATAATATAGGTTTATGAGCCAGCATTTAACTTGGAGTTAACATGAGTCGTTTGATAAAAATGTTTGCTTAAAATAAAATAAACTTATTTTCTTTAATAATAATATAACATAATTTTTGCACATTTTTATGTTTAGCATATAAAATGGATTTTATTTTTGCAAAATAAAATAAATGAAACTATTGCATGAGCCCAAAATGTAGTTGCGGTATATGCATACATATACATATGTACTATATATATCCTATATATATATACAACAAAATGAATTCATAGCACATAGAACAAAATATGTTTTCGATATTGTATATTCGGCTTCGATCTCGCTGGCTAGTTAGTTACATAGTAAATGTTTAATCTTTATATTAATTAAGCCAAGACTGCGCTCTGGTTACTGATGAGGTTTTTCGTTTGCTCCTGGCAAGTTCGCTTCAAATAGTTGTCGCTCCATTGTGTGGAGCAATAGATGATTCTGCCTGTGGGGCTCTTACGCCTCGTCTGTAGACACTCGCGTTTGGTTGCTCAGATCGTATTTATACATGAAGACGCGTCCACTATATATAGACATGGAGTTATTTCATTTGATAGATTAGATATCTACGATCTACGCACTGCTTGGCTGTCGTCTGCGTCGGCTCCGGCTCAATGTCTTTGTGCAGGCGCAGAATGTGCTTTTTCAAACCCTCGCTGCGCACGCACGCTTTAGGGCAGTGGGGGCACTTGTAGGGCTTCTCGCCCGTGTGCTCCAGGATGTGCGCTTTGAGATCACGATTTTGGGCGAAGGGCTTGGGGCAATAGGGGCACTTGAATGGCCGTTCGCCTGTGTGTCCCCGTATGTGTCGCTGCAAATTATCGTTGGTTGCGAACGCCTTTGGGCAGTGCGGACAATTGAGGGTCCGCTCGCTCGAGTGGCGGCGGATGTGCTTCTGCAGATTGTCATTTGTGGCAAAGGCCTTGGGACAGTGCGGGCAAATGAGCGTCCTTTCACTGGAGTGCCGACGGATGTGCTTCTGCAGGTTGTCCTTGGTGGCAAACAGCTTTGGGCAGTGTGGGCAACTGAGAGTCCTTTCACTCGAATGCCGGCGTATGTGCTTCTGCAGGTTGTCATTCGTCGCAAAGGACTTCGGACAGGTGGGACAGAGAAAGGGTCGCTCACGATCGCCAGAGTGTGTGCGTGTGAGGTGGACTTTGAGATTGCTGCTCGTTGCGAAATCCTTAGGACAGTGGGCGCACTTGAAGGGCTTTTCGCTGCCGTTCTGAAATCTGTTTAGGGAATGGGGAAATTATTGACAAGATGAAATTTACTCAACAGCAAAATTGTCCCACTTTTTCACTGTTTGTTTCTCGGCTGCTTGCCGCTGTTTGTTGTCAGTGCTGCTGGCATTGGCGCTGCTCTGCCACACGAAACTCATGTCTTGCTCGATCTTGACCAGGCCCAAATCTCTGTGTCGCATCGTCAATTGCCAATCCTGATTCTTGAACATATTGCAAATGGCCTCGCACTGCTCCTCCTTGACGCAGGCCACATCTATCGTTTGCGCCATCACTTAACAGCTATTAATTTAACTTGCACAACTCTAAATCGTTGTTTCAATAAGAATATATTACTTTAATTGCAATTTTTTTAGGGTAAACAGCTAAAAGACGAACAAAAAATTCCGATGATTTTTTTGTTCGATATATCGACAAACTGTCAGCACAATTGTGATGTGCGCACAGCTGTTTGGCAGGCAAGTTGGCAGTGCCGCTTTTTATATTTAAAAATGGGAGAAATATCGATTAACCTCATTAGTCCAATATATCGACAAAGTGTCAGCTCAATTGCATGTACTCATATCAACAGTGTTGCCATACTATTAAAACTGGTCAAAATAGTCTTTTTTTTGTGGCGCCAGTTTAAAAAAGACAACTTGCCCTGGTAAATTTTAACTTTTTCGTTTTTCTGCTCTTTTGCCCACAAAAAATGCACTTTATATTTTTGTATTTTATTTATTCATTAATGCAACAAAAAAGAACTTACTTAAAAATTTCCATCGCTATAAATCTCAAAAACAAGCTTAGAACATTAACACAAAATTTTTATCCTGGAATTTGCCTTTGTTATTGTTTTGCTATTACTAAAAATTGCACTAAAGGATATATATAGATAAATATATATATTTGCAATACTTGTTAATACATCTAATTGGATGCACGGACGTTATTTCTTTATTAATATTGGGAAACTGTGATAAAACATCAATTTTTACATTTTCTTTTATGTATTTCATAGAAAGTAAAAGATTTTTTTGAAGAATTTTGATGAAAGGCAATAATAACATTTATGAAAATATAAACTAAATACATTTGACAAATTAATAATATAGGTTATACATGAATTTACAAAATTATAAATTATATATTAATTTAATGATTAGCTTAATAGCAAAAACAATGAAAAGCCAAAAGCTCTAATTAACAACAATTGCGGGTGTACGATTTAAATTTTTGTGAATATATCGCTTAATGTTTTTTAAGTTTATTTGTAATTAGTTTTTGCTTTGTTATGGACAAACGTCGATATTATATTCCCTTTCTCTTTCTTTTCACTTCATATAAATATATACAATACATTTAAAATTTGAACGCTCTAAGATAATTAACTTGATTTTGTTGTTGTTCTGTTAGTTGGTCTCGAATTTCTTCACTAAGTTTTTTTTTTTTTTTTTTTTTTTTTTTTTTTTTTTTTAATAACAATCACACAAGGGTTCTTGCTGGTTTAGTCAATCAATACCTGGAAAGTAACCGAACCCATGCGATCGCGAAAGCTACCGCTATAAATTATATTATTAGCCCATGCCCGACATTCCACATCCAGCATGGAGCCTATTGGCGGAGACTTAATTTGCACAGCAACAATGGGGCTCAAGTAGCCGGGCTGATTGAGGTAGGGATAGTAATAGATGGGGAAGCCTTGGCTGGGATAATAGGCGATATTCTGGAAATTCTCCTTATCCTTGCCAAGGTGTCCGTTGCATGAGACCCAGATTTGTTGACGCTGTAAAGATTGATCAATTCAGTTTATCAGTTTTTCAACACTTGTCAATCAGTCAATAATTTCATTCTCTGCCCGTCAATAATTCATTCAGTCGCTTAGTCATTTTAGTCAGTACAAGCACACGAGTATACTTATTTATGGATAGAGCATTACCTCCTCAGCAGCCGTATTGTTGATGACATTTACAAGATTGGAGGGCATCTCGTTGATGGGGCTTTCGTAGACTTCTGGCATCCATCCAAAAATCTTGTTCAGCTTCAGAAAGATGCAAGGTTCGGCCGTCTTATAGCCATAACTATTCGCCGATGAGCACGGCCCAAAGCTCTCAATATTCACGACGCAAACGTCGTTCGGATTGTGGGTTTGCTTGAAATCGCAATGTTTCATCTGACGGCCCTCAGTGTGATTATAATCTATATAGAAGAGCAACATATACATATTGATATACATAGCCAAAAGTGAATCTTTCACTCACCCTTTAAGAAATCATCTATCAATTCAATCCAATAATCGCTCTCGGCCGGCTTCTTTACATTGAATCTAATCACAGAGCCACGCTCGGTCTGCTCGCTCAGTGGTCGAAAGCCCAGGCCGGGATTGGTGCCAATGAGAGATTGGTCCAGCTGCCATTTGGGCTTGTGATTGTCCACAGTGGACAACATAACCTGCATGCATATGGTAAACAATATGGTGAGGACGATATAGAATATCATATAGAACACGAAAAGTTGACCTGGAAACGTAAAAAATATACGAAATTAATTAGAGCCTTAAAATTAAATATATTTTAAATTATCGATTGATCGAATATAATTGCTAAAAATACAAAATTGATCGATAACAATTTGACTGCATAATCGATCAATATTAAAAATAGCTTAAAATGCAAGTTGCAACACTTTGTTGTCATTGTTAATGCTGTTGTTGTTTATAAATTCTGTATACGAGGGCGTTACGTTCCTGCTGTGGCAACGTTGAAAACCGGATAGAAACCGCAGCAAATGCAGTAATTACAATAAAAACAACAAACAGAAAGGAAGAAGAACAACAAATAGAACCAACTACTGACCACTATATACACATAGATGTATGTATATGTATGTGTTAGTATATAGGTCTTTGTATATATTTAGGTATTATTCGATTGTGTTTACGATTATTTCAATGTCAATAGCATTGACGACTCGCCAGCTAGTATCCAGTTTTTGCTCGTTTTCTACAATCGCATTGAATGGATGCCCAACCCGTACGCGTAGCCCCAATACCATCCGCTTTCCCAACCCCACCGTTTTCCAACTGCATAAATAACGCAACGTCGGCAACAACCTAAAGAGCGAGGCTCGCGTTTCGAATTCCCAAAACACACAAATTAATCGTATGAATGAATATTGAATACAATGTCGAGTACAGCAGGCAACAAAAACTGAAAACGGGAAGAAAAACAAAAAACGCTCAGTAAAAAATCGAAAAACATCTATCAATAAGTAATCAATGTCAGCAAACGACTTTCAATATTGGATAGCTAAGTTGATTTGTGTTGAGTTGGGACGGCTCTGGCCTGGTCGGATTCATTAAATTTGTATACATGGGGATCTAAAAGGGTATAAAGGGTATTCTCATAGAC